TCCCCTGTGTTCCCGACTCATTGATGGTATTGAACTGGCAAATTCATTTTTTGTTTTTACAGCTACGGCATATACTTTTTACTCTGGAGGATCCTGACATCGGTTGCTGATGTGTTAGCCAAAATTGCTACCATTGTGTTGTGAATGACAGCAGAGGTGGTGGTAGCATCCAGTCACCGGTAAAAACAACAACATGACATGGGCTACTGGAATCTCAGAATGACCAGAAGGACTTTTCAGCTCTTTCGGCCATTGTTTGCGGCTTTGTGAGGGGCTGCCTTAATACTAATTGGCCAGATGACAACACAGAAACAGAGCACTCTGCATAACGGAGAGCTTTCAAAATATTATGAGATAAGAAACGTAGAGTGCAGAACAAGTGAATTGACCTTTTGGGAGGAAGAATCACCAGAATGTACTGATTACACTTTCTAAAATTTGTTTTCTTTGAGTTGGCTTTCATTAGGAGCGGATTGCTTACAAGGAATGAGTAAGGAAGGAAAACAATCTCTGAGAAGATTAGTAATATCGGGTGAATCAAAAGGGAGATAGAAAGGGTAGAAGATGCAGTGCTGCTGCAGAGGTGGAGAGCCTCTGAGAATAGGAGACCCTTTTTTGTCTCAATGCACAAAATTAGATACGATGTTTTTGTTGGACCAATGCCTAAAGAATGTGACAAGAGAGAAGTTTCACTGAAGTACCTTCATGTAGACTGGCATAATTCTCTTGCAGACTGCCATATAGATATGATGACTATAATTGTAAAAGAATACTGTGTCTGGATTGTTTAAAATATTTCATAGCTTTCCTTTCATATTTTAGACATTGCAACTTGCCTGGTAATGTGATGTCCTTATGGTGCTTGTGGTACAATATTGCACTTAAGCAAACAAAATACAGCTGAGTTTTGACACTATGGCTGTTATTTCTAACAGCTCTCTGGAGTAACTATGCAAACTGCATATAGAATTTCTTTTCTCTTATATGTACATGTATATATTTATAATATATATTAAAAATGTTTATACAGGCAAATATATATATATATTTTTATATAGTGTCAATTTGGGCAAGTTTAGAAAATATAGCGAATAGAAAAATCCCTAATTAATCAAGACAGATACATAGAAGCAGGGGAAATTGTTTTGCAAAGGAGATGCTTAAGCTAACCTGTACTGCTGAAATAGGCAGGACCTCTTTACAAATAACAGTGAAAAATGATTTTCCATTTAAACATCTTGCAGATTCCCTGCTCTTGAAGTAAATCTCATAGAGAGTCAGTTTGTCTACATGTAATTTGCAGGTTCAGAGCCCTTGCAGGTTCAGAGCCCTCCAAGTTTAATTAAGAATCCATGGGTTTCCAGCTTCAGAAACAAGGTATCACCTTTTTTCTTTTTTCTTGTTAGACATGTCTTCCAAGAATGCATATAATTTCATAAAGTTCACTGTAGTGTTGCACTAGCAATATTTGACATGTGTCTCATGCTTTGTCACTGACTGGGTCACACATATTAATTGACAGTGGCTCAGCTTCACAGCAGTCGGGTAATGCTGTGTATCAGACTTGGAAGCTATGATGTGAGAAGAAAACCTGGAAACTATGATGAAAGAAAGGATTCTCTTCCTTATGGTATCCTTTTAAGGTGTTCTTTATACTGATAAAAAGCAACAGAATTTAAAATTAGAGGGATTTTAAGATAACTGATTGACCATAATTACAAAGTATTCTGTAATAATAGGGATTTTTTTTTTCCTTTATGATTGTCCTGAATCTCTGACATTTGATAGAACATCTGATTTTAGGTAGAATGATTGTTTCTCAAAGGGACCTGGCTTCCATAAAGATGAGCAATTATAAAAGTCTGTACTCCTTCACAATACATGGGAAGGGAAATCCTCTCTTGATTCCCATTAGCTCCAGTAGATCCAGTAGCTCATAGCTTGGGCACTTGTAGCACAACTTGATAAGATATACTCATATAAATATGTACATGGCTTTATTTTTCCCAACTGTTGAACTAAGAAGTATTCCAGAAAGAGACCCTTTCCTACCTCTGTGAAGGAGCGTAATCTCTTCATACAGATCTGCATCATGCTTTCCACCAAAAGATAGGACGGACTTCTCTTTCACTCTTCCTCTCTCTGTTTCTTGCAATTCTGCGTGAAAATCAAGAATAATTGCATTTTATTATCTTACTTTGTATTTAAGCTGCAAGTAAATGCTCTTTAAGTAGTGAATCTTATTTTGGTCTTCTTAGGGCTGTAAGATATGATTCAGTGAGGTGATAGTATCATATTTTATGTTGCCTCACTGAAAGGATATTTATAAATATATTTCCATTTCCTCCATCCTATTTTTGCATGGAAAGACAATGACATTTTTTTTTTTTTTAGGATTCCAATTCAATTTTAAAAGTTCAGTATAAGCTAATATGGAGCTGGCTGAATGCTTAGGAGCAATCTGTCTGCTCCTACATAGAACTACCATTAACCTGCCAGATACAGTTATCTTGAAACAAGCTCGAACAGCTTCATATTCCCATAGAGAATGGAGATGTAAATTCTGAGATAACAAAGGCATAAAGAATTTCTCTAAGTAGAGACTGGATAAACTGGCAGCGCTCTATGGGAAGTGAGTAATGGACAACTCTACATAGCAGCCATTGTAAATTTAAGCAATGTGTTTCTACTTTAGAGCAATTTCATTTATATATTTCAGAACACTGAAAAGGTCACAGATTTCTACACAGGGCCTCATTGTGTATTCCTTGTGCATCCAGCACTGCCTTGAATCGAGGTTTGTGGAGCTGTAACCACGCGAATTTGGAGAACTGTGAATGCCAGAGATATACTTTCAGGGTACTCCACTGAGATATCTTTGAAGAAAGTTTATTGTATGTCAAACTAATACCAACATTAATAATCAAATATTAAGGATCGTATTCTGACTATCTTTTTTATATCGGAGGAATGACACTATTAGTCAGGGAAAACAAGTGCAATCAGAATCTGGAGCTGACTGATAATTAAATTTGACTATAAACTGTAAAAATAGCATTGACAGGACAGCGACATAAGAATGTACTGTATAATGTCATTTTAATGCATCATCGTAACTTGACACTGGTCTTTCAGTTTAACAATAAGTAACATCTCTTGACGGCTTGTATTTGGCTTACACTATGTCTCTTGCTGTTATGTGTTGGGAATTGTAAAAGGTGCATGATTGTGCTGTTTCTGTTCAAGTTGTTTCTAATTGAAATCTTCACTGTCCAGTGTTCTTTCAATAAGGGTACCAGCTACAACATTTACATTATTTTATGGACACAGAAACTGGCTTTTCAACCAAACTGAATGACGCATCTAAATATATAACAAGAGAGTATGTGTGTGTATATCTATCCCTGTAGACGTATATATATTTATTAGTTCACATAAAGTCTCTCATTTCTCCTCACCATGAGCTTCTCAGATCTCAGGTATTTGGAAGGAATCCTGACTTTTCATGAATGCAGAAAGCCATGAATCTCAAGATTAGTTAATATATACTTTTACTGTGATATTTCCTACAATTTTCTCTCCACAGAACTCAGCACAGGCCAACATTAAATGCAGGTCTAATGACTAACAGATGCCAGAATATGCAGGAAAAGTCTTCTACCTGCACACGCTGAAGAATCAGTGGCTGTGTCATTTTTCCCTTTGATCCTTTGAGTTGGTAGCCACTAAATTCCTTATGTGTTTTTTTCTTCTTCTGATTGCACACTAGAAAGTACTTACCTTTCTTATGTTCTGTGTAACAGTCTGCTATTTTTTCGTGCCAGAAACAAAATCCTGACCTTGGTGGGTTCTTGGGCTGACCCAGAATAAATGCTCTTTTATTTATTCAGTTCTCTGATAGTTAAATTCTGAGTATTTTCTTAGAGACATAATAAACTTTCTTAAGTAAGAAAAGAGTTGATTTCAATAAAGTTTCCAGGTCAGCGATAGAAATATAAGGAGTGTATCAGGTTATTCATTAAATGGAAGACTGTCTTCCATATAAGAGCTTAAATAATTGGAGAAACTAACCTCTGAATATCCATATTAACGCTAAGGTTTTTTTTTGTAAAAAGGGTAATCTTATACTTCATATATCATTCTTAGAATATACTTGCAACATACATTAAATGAAGAAATGTTGCTATTAACTCTTAGAATAATAAAGATACTTTCAGTGTAGTACATAAATCTCAGTAGCAACACAGTATCTATTTTAGCTTAACTGTACCAAGTAGCCAAAATACATTCAGCACTCTGACAGGATTTGTTTGAGGTTCCTCCTTTGAAAGGACGCTCCTTGCTTTGAATTTCAAGCACCACCTTTTGTAGAAGGTGGACTACAGTAATTCTGTTTTAAAAGCCAGATGATTGCATGTCTGCCTCACAATTCAGTTGTGTCTTTGGTGATGGGCTTTTAGGGCCTTGTGTTATATTTTGCTTTCTTGTTTGGGTTTAGGTGGCTTTTTTTTTTTCTTTTACTGTCGGTCTTTGCTTTCCATCTGAGAAGTTCTTGATATCGTTGTTGAAGGCAAACTATTCTTTGAAGAAAACTATGGCAAAATCTGTAGTTAGTAATAGAAACTGGATAACTAATGGGAGGAGAATGCTTTCCTCCCTGTCCTGAGATTTTTGTTTTTAATGCAAAAGTGAAAAAGTTCTCAATAAAAGATATAATAAGGAAATATATTTTAAGCATGGCAGAATAAAGTGACATTATTTTGGTCTGAAAGTAATATGCTGTTGTACAGCGATATACTGTATCTCTCAAATTGGGGTTGCTTGATTATTTTTTGCATTGTTTTCTAAGCATCATTCTGCATATAACTTTCAGTTTGGTCACTACTTGGATAATGTGAATGGTACCCATTATTGAAAGGTAGTCTGTATTTGTACTAATACAGAGAATGCCAGTTTAGAAATGAGCCTGATTGCATGGTTCATTTTGTTCTCCTTTGTAGAGCCAGGCTGCGGCCCACTACAAAGGCACTAAACATGCCAAGAAGCTCAAAGCACTGGAAGCCATGAAAAATAAGCAGAAATCTGTTACTACCAAGGACAGCGCAAAGACTACCTTCACTTCCATCACTACCAATACCATCAATACCAGCTCTGACAAAACAGGTTAAGCGATAAACTTTGTTGCTTTTTTTTCCTTGTTTAACTCCATGTGTGTTTGGTTACGTGCTTGCCACATTGATTCATGCTTGATCCATCTTTCTGTGCAATATTGGTTTTTTTATTCCTTTCAATACGCTGGTAAGAGTAAGAGAGTCATGTAACCACTTTCTCTTTGTAAAAAGAGGCTTGCCATTTTTTCAGGAGAGAATGCAATACTTATGACTTGATTAATTTTTATAGCAGCTGAACTATTAAATATCAACTGATCTAAACCTTGTAGTCTATATGCAGCATTTCTGTATAAATAATTACACATGGCACATTTCTTTTAACCACAAACAATGCAGCAAGTTGCACTAATTATGTGTAGAAGCCTCTTACAAAAGCATTGTCAGTAAAAAACTAGTTTTCATAAATTTCAAGCATTGCATTATTTTTTTAAAATGGTTATTGCATGGTTTTGAGCTGGAGAATAGCTGTATAACCTCAACTCTGCATAATCAGGTAAGTGTTATCAATGCCAATTATTCTGCTTAACTGAGTCCTCAGACTGAAATCATATCCTTTAAATGATTGTGTGGGTAAAGGGTATTTCTTTGCAAATAACATTTACGTGAGTATTTGGTGAAGTCAACGGGGTCTGATTAACCTGTCATTTTAAATGTGTGGCTATTGTACTGGAAATTTCAAAGGAAGGTTGTAAGTTCATAGGAAAGTGTTGTAGTAGCTCACAAGATATGATTACTCTTGTGATTCTCTGTATGAAGGTACATATTTAGTCATAATTACCCCACCTTCCCCCAAACAAGCCCAAAACAGCAACAGCAAAAAGCTAAAAGTGTGAAAAAGCGGAGGCCTTTCTACTGCTGCTGAAATCTGCTCATTTGGAACCAGTTCTTCTGATTCAGTAAGTTTAGTACTTTAAATAGAATTGCAATTACTAATTATAGTATAACAAAAAAGTACCTTACAGATATGTGTAGTACTTTCTCTAAGATACATTTTTACTGTCTTTCTTATAGACAGATACCTGTATGTCTCTCTCTCTGTAGAATCTTTAATAGCCCTTTATTATAGACAGCATACGTTTTTGTGGACATTTAGATCCTAACAATAATAGGATTACTTTAAAAAGCAATCAGTAGTTACAATATTTTTGTATGTGTTACAAAAAATACTCCTGAAAATATTCAAAGTGCTTTTGTTTCTGATGGTGAAAGAAGTGAAGCGCGAGAGAATGGGAAGAAGGATGAGAAATGTCAAGAGTTATTTATCAAAATATATATGTTTATAAACATGTAAATACTTTAAAAAGTTTCTGCTGCTCTTACCTGTTAACATATTCACAACAGTGAGAGGGATGTTGAATGGAAGTGAGTTATTGCTTGTAAACTTATAATCTACTGGCTAAAGAAGATAACAAGAAAAAAGGGAGATATTTTTAAGCTTTAAAATGTATTATAAAAAAGCTTTTTTTCTTATGCTGTATAAGTTTGGAAGATGATCCAAGATGCCTTAAAACCAATCTAAGTCTTTCCATCAGGCTTTGAATTAGGTCCCTGGCAGGGTACATGAAATGACGTGTATCTAAGGTCAGTAATACGAATCAATATTTATCTCAGCATAAGAAAGAAAGCATCAGAAGACTAGTTGCCCACAAAAGAAATGGCCTATGCAGGAGTTTCCTCAGCTTTACATACAGTTTACTTGTTTAATTTTATGAACTATGGGTGTGCATATGTGTGTGTGTATGTGTGTGTATAATATACACATATATATGCATATATACATATATGTATGTGGTCTGTGTTATAAATACTGACCTGAATGGCATTCTAAATTTTCTTCTTCTGAGAGAGACGCTCCTCTTCACAGGGATTTTATTATGGTTCCAATACCCACCTCACCCTAAAAAAAACCAAACAACAACAACAACAACAAAACTACAGTAAACAGTAAGGTTTGTTGACAAAAAGCCAAAATTTTGGCACAAAATACTGACAGCCCTGTTCAACTGCTGGCATTCAAAGAAAGGCAACCAGTTTTATCCAAATGCTAATACAGTTACTGCAGGTCAGCATTGATGTGACTGGTAGTAAAACAGTATCCCTGATGTAAAATATCTTTTGCAGAAGCAAGCATGTATGCATAGCCAAAAAACTAACCAACTAACCAGGCAGGCAAAAAAATTTTGTGAAACCAAAAGGCTAAAATTATCTGCCAAAGATAACGAGTTAAAATCCTCATAAATCAAATTGTTTTCCTTTCCTTTTCAGTTGTTCTGTCTTGCATATACTTGCTAGAACTTTTAAAAGTGAAATATTTTCTGAAAGCCAGAATATCAGAATCTACTTCACTCTATGATTTTATGGAAATGATTGCTGTAAAAGTCAAATGTTCTGGTAGTAATATGTTATTCTGAGGGAAAAGCTGTACTAATGAATATAATTCATTAATTAACTATTCAGAATTAAGTTCTGTTAATAATTCCCTGTACATGTGACCATTTGGAAAGAAGCTTTTAGTACAGTATTTTAAAGCTGTGGGCTGAAGATTAATATGTGATCCCAAATATGCTGAGAATAGGTTCATGTTCATATCACCTCCAATTCATCATGTACAACAGTGGTTAAATGGTGGATTACATGTCAGTCACAGCACATTGGGCAGGATTTCAGTTCGCTGGTTCTGCGTAACCTTAGCAGCTCCAGCAAACAAAATGTCATCAGGAAATCCGCAGTGCCATGCAATAAAAATTATGAAAAAGACCACACAAAACACAACTTGATGCTAGAGCTAAAGCGGCAATTTGTTATGTTGCTTATTCAGAAAGTATTGTGCTAGCTGTGATGCCTGCATGTGTTATTGCAATAAATAATGGAAACTATGCAACCCCAATGTAGCCACACTCCTTAAAACCTTGGATAAATGATTCCTGGTGGTTAAACTGTTTGTGTTAAGGATAAAATGTGAAATATGGGGTCATTTTGCTCATTCCGTGATGGTCACTACTTTTTTACCCCTCTAAACAACCTTTAAAATTATTAAAAGACTTGAACTAATTACCTTAAGAAATCTTTGGAGGAATAAAATATCACGAAGAGTTATATTGGCAGTCACGGATTAGAGGATATCATTCTCAACGTGTTGTAACTTTGTTACCAGTGGTTTATTTAGCATCCTCTTTTCATCTGTACTTGTCATTTCTATGCGATATCTGTAGTCACTCAGGACAGAAGAAAGGAAGCATGACCATTCCAAAGAGAAGCCCTCTTTAGGATGGTATACAAGCCAGCTTTCAGTATTTCTTGTTTCTCCCATTCAAAGGGTGTTAATAAAAATGTATATTTTCACCATATATTAACATACCTGCATACTTATTTCCTGATAAAAAGTAGTTAAAGGTCCTTGGTAGCTTTATGAATTCACTCACCTTTATCCGAGGTATATTTTCCTCATAAAGATGCTTTGCAACTTGACTTTGGCAATAAGGACAGATGCTTTAGATGCCTTTCAGAATATATTTAGATAGACTATTTTCCACCATGCTAACTGTATGTCCTGTACACTAAAGTCGTTGTCTTGCACTCTAAATTTTTCTGAATCTAGAGTGTTCAAGATGCATGTACATGTAAAATGTGTATATACACATAGTTATTTTATACATCTAAATATAGATCTTCTCAGAAGCTGTTTGGAGCTGTAAATGACTTTTCCTAAGCACATTATTGTGAATTTGATCCTGCAGATTTGGGACTTTTTTTTATTCAGCAGAGAATTCGGCATAAATTAGGTCATCGTTTGCTGTCAATGAAGAAGAACAAATAGACCAGAAGGGCAAAAAAGGCGTTGGCAAACGTCTCTAGGGCAAAGTCTTTAACGTTGCTTTTGATTGTTATTCAGTATGTCTTAAATTCTGTGTACTTAAATGCAATGAACACTTCTTAAAAATAGAGAAAAATGTAACGAACAAAAAGGTGTGTACCTGTGCCAAGGCACAGAGACTAGTTATCATTAGTACAGTCTTAATGGCTAAGAGACCCATCTGCTGTGAGACAACAAAATACTGGCCACTCTCCTAAAGAGTTTAGTCTCCACACAAGATGAGAGACAACTTTCAGAGACAGACAATGTTATTATAATTAGACAGGTGTTTTAAAAGAGCAGTAGCATAACCATGTTCAAATGATAAAGGCATCACAGGAAATGGAAATCTTGAAGGATGGATTAGAAGGTGAAGGAGGAGGGTTTTTTCCAGATATTGAAAGTATATGCGTGTAACAGCATGGGATAAAACATTAAGTCATCTTACTTGCCTTTCACTGGCACATTTGAAAATTACTCTCTGCTTATACAGCTGTGCTATAACACTCATCAGAGAAATTAGAGCGGGGGGTGGTTGCTGCTCATGTTTTTAGGCTTGGAGGTGCTGAAGGGAAAAACTCAAATTTATGTTATTATCTAAAGTGGAAAACTAGATTCTGGAAGAAGTTAGGAAAATAAATATTATATAGCATGAAAGGCGTCAAGAAGACCTAAGATTTTGGAGATGGGTTGGAACAGACGATATCAGCAAGATTTTTATTAGCTTGTACCAAACCTTGATTTCTTACGGAAGTGGCAGAATTTTAGGTGAGCTTCCCCTTTCCAGCCCCCTTTTTTTGTTTTATTTTTATCACAGAAATGTTAAGGGAATTGATGGTCAGCAGGTGAAACTTGCTCCTAAAGTAACAAATGATTTCAGTCCAGCTGTGATAATTCATAAATGGACTTTCAGGACCTTGGCCAGGTTTTGAGTATCTTCACAACCCCTCTGGGCAGCCTGTTCCAGTGTTTGGCCACCCTTAAAATAAAAAAGTTTTTTCTTATGTTTAAGTGGAATTTCCTGTATTTCAGCTTGTGCCCTTTGCATCTTATCCTTTCTCTGGGCACCATTGAAAAGACTCTGGTTCTGTCTTCTTTAGTCCCTCAATTAGGTATTTATACAGATTGATAAGATTTCC